TGGTTTCCGTTATTATGTCTTACTTATCTGTCCGGATTCATTTGTTTGATTAGAGTCTTCTGTAGAATAGTTTCCTCAAACAGATACGTGGGTGATATGTTCTCTGAATCTTTATATATCTTCTCTGAAAAAAGTGGTATTTTGGCTGGCAGAGAATGTTACTCTTGCGTCTCAGAGTTGCTGCCCTGTATGCCTGTATTCTAGATGTTCTGTGGATGTTTTTCTATAAACTTTTCTTTTCCAGAATTGCACATAAGAAGTTCCATAGTGTTTTTCTTTGAAACTACCTTGTGTAGTTTGAGGATTGTAAGATTGTAAGATTATTCTTTTACTCTTGGAGCTCAAAAATGATATTATTACCTGATATAATGAGCTTATCAATCTGCAAAATAGTTTATTTATTAAGCTGAGGAAAATTTGTATTTTCTTTTTATTATGGCTCCTTCTCTATATGTCCTTCTTCCTTCAGAAATGCCCACTATTTATATATTAGTTCTCCTAGAGGAGTCCTTCAAGGTTTTTGTAGTTTCTTCATGCTTTCCAAATCTGTATAATTTTGTTCTCTCTTGAGATACATCTTTCAGGTTGTTTTCCACACCACTAATTCTGGCCTCATCAATGGCCATCTTCTCAATTTAATATGTTTTTATTTAAAAACTACTGGGTTTTAGTACAAGAAAGTTTTTATGCTCTGATAAAATATCCATAAATGTTTCTATATTTTTAATAAAGGTGGGGAACGAAGACTTTAAACTCTTGTCTGCTTCTTCCACCAGTTTTTTTCACTAAGATCCACCTATTCTGGAAGTTCTTCTTGTTTTAATCCTCTAGGGCTACTGGGTTCCTTATATGTACTGTTGTTTTTTCTTGCCTGTACCTTGGAGTTTGGGCCCAAATGCCAGAGCACCTTGAAAAAAAACAAAGTTCTGGGTAAAGAGCATGGTGAGCTCCAGGCAAGTTGTCATTCCTGCTGTGCACCAGGAGGTAGTCTTGCTCTCTGTGACCCAGACCCTCTTCTCAGCTCCCCAACATCCCCACAAGGGACTGAGATGACAACAGTTCCTCCAGATAGCACACAGGTGGTAGCACCCCATATTTTGCAGACCCAAGAGTCCCTGCATCCTGTGCTCTTCCTTAATCTCACCATTCTAATTTGCAGCCAAGGACTCCATGACACTAGTCCCTACGTTCTCTCTAATCCCTCAGGGAAAAAAATCCTATGACATCATTGTCCACTGTTGTCCAGACAGAGCAAAGACCTCACATCCCCCAGATCCCACTCCTCATTGGGCTTAGGAGAGGTAGTTCATAGTTGAATTGGAAATAGAAGGGAAGGCATTGAGGTTGAGTTTAAGCTATCATTTGACCACTAGATATTTCCCCTCAGAAAGGAGGTTTGTATTCTAGAATCTATGATTGTGGTCTATGATCTCCTGAAATGGCCATCAAATTGTATCTATCTATCTTTCTATCTATCTACACATCGATGTTTTTCTGTGGAGTTGTTTTTTTTAACAGGTTTTTTTTTTTTTTTTTTTTTTTTTTTTTTTTTTTTTTTT